GAAAATATATTTAATCAAAAAACGATGTGTTTATTAAAATTCAAGACGTGTTTGAAAATCTAATTTACAATATTGTGTTCAGTGTATCGCCAATTGGTTACCAAAAGCTATTTTTAAATTTATGGCTACTATTATGTTATCGCATAGGGATGTGATCTGAATCCAAAGGCCACGTCCACGCGTATAATCGGTGCCATTTGGTGGTTCTTCACACTCATCCTCATCTCGTCATATACGGCCAATTTGGCCGCTTTTCTCACAGTCGAGCGCATGATTACACCCATAGAGAGTGTCGAGGACTTGGCCTCACAGAGCAAAATCACTTACGGCACTCTCGAGAGCGGCTCGACTATGACCTTCTTCAGGGACTCAACCATCGAGACCTACTCCAAGATGTGGCGCTTTATGGAGAACAGACAGGGAGTGTTTGTCAAGTCCTACGAGGAGGGCGTCCAACGGGTGGTCGACGGCAACTATGCTTTCCTTATGGAGAGGTATGTGTCGTATATAATAGACAACTGGGCTTAATATGTTTGGTACCTAATTATGTGTGTAATATACTGTCCATTAGCACAATGTTAGACTATATGGTTCAGCGGAACTGCAATCTCACACAAATCGGCGGTCTGTTGGACAGCAAAGGCTACGGAATCGCCACTCCTATCGGTAATGCAATCATTCAATTTAGTTTTAAATGTTGAAAAGTACAGAATCTGTAATACATTTCAATACAATATTCTGTAATATAAAAAAGAATTTTGAAAGTTTATATTTTAGACACCAGAGGGTAATAAACATCGAGTATAGCTCAATATATAGGAGAATTCAATTTGACCACGAATTCAATGCTATACGATATACTAGATTATGATACTTTATAATTCTGGGTTTTATAGTTAACATTTAGTATTGTTTTAATGCTTTTGTAAAAATATCTCCTTTACATAATACTCACATGAATAGACCATTTGTTTGTTTAAATCGATAAAAATTCGCCCAAAACTTATTATTATTATAATTAATTGTATTTTTGCATTTATTTTTGACATTTGTTTTCAAATGTAATTAAAATTCGGAGAAAT